GTGAGGTAAAGAGATTGAGGCCGTCCTGGCCAACATGGCAAAACCCTATCTCTACTAAAAATACAAAAATCAGCTGGGCATGGTGGCACACGCCTGTAGTCCCAGCCACTCAGGAGGCTGAGGCAGGAGAATCACTTGAACCCAGGAAGAGGAAGTTGCAGTGAGCCGAGATTGTGTCACTGCACTCTAGCCTGGCAACAGAGAGATACTCTTGTCTAAAAAAATAAAATAAAATAAAATCCAAAGGAAGGTATGAGAGAATCTGTGTGTCATAATAAACAAGCCTATGCACAACTCTAACATGTTGAAGCTTCCCGAGACACAAAGGGCGGCACCCCTGCAGCCACATGAAGTAACAGCACCTCTAAGAGGTTGCCCCAAACCCAGAGGCTCTGACATTACTGATCAACATTTCTCAAATTTCTAGGGTTTTGTTACCATTTCTTTATCATAAGATAACAGAACTGTGTCATTTCTTATTTTACAATAAATGACTTATTTATACATACACAGAAAATCACTGAAAAGCTTGGAATAAAAACTCAGGTTTTTACACGCTCATTGTTTCATTCAGATGATTTTTAAGCTTGTGTCTTTCTTTTCTATGTATTGTTTTTCCTTCCAAAGTGAAATTCTCTTTATGTTTGAATATGATGTAAATGATGTGAAAATAGGGTTATCTTGTTTTTACCACACATGGAGGTCTCCAATTCATAGGCAGCCCAAAGGTCCAATTGGAGTGCATTACACTAAACTTAAATGCCATGTGCCCTACATACTTTCACTCTGGAAGGAAGCCAATGTTAACTCAATTGAACAAGCTATATTAGGAATTAGAAAATGTGACTGTTGATGTCAAACAAAACCAATGCTTTTAAATATGAATTCAGGGTTCAAACCCACTCTCCCCACCATCAGTAATGATACCACTATCATTCTACCTTCACAAGACTTTGATTTGAGGCTGTATCTGTAGCCTTCGGGGCATTCACATTCATAGTCTCCTGGGATATTCTTGCACACAGCTATGCCACAGATGCTTGGCTTCAAAAAGCATTCATCCACATCTATAAATAAAGTCACTATATTAAAAAATATTTTTCCCATACCAGCAGAGCCTAGCAAAGAAAACTTGATTTGTGTTTCCTGGATGTAGTTTAATATATGTAATGAGATAACAGATTGGCCTTCGGACAAAAAAACATTAAATCTATCATCATATGTTAGTTTACTAAATATGATTTCTTTCTGCAAATGCATAGGGAATTTGATGTTCCTTTCTAGTTATGTTAAGAAGGAGAATGCTACAGAAATGTTCTTATCTGCCAGGCAGATAAGAAAACAAACAGAGGTCTTGAAAACAGATTCACTTCATAGCATCACAACTAATTTTTGTACAGGGGATGGCACATCTATTCTACCTTGTTTCTTTGGAAATGAACAAACATCTAATTTGTGCACCACTATTGTTGCCTAAAGTAGACAACAGTGAGTCAAATTTAAAATAAGATTAAGGTCTCTAAGTACTTATAAATCTGTAGTTAATCCAATATGAATTTAGTGCTAAATTAATATCCCACACATTTCAGATGCATATATCATATTGCAAAATGAAGTGGGAGACAGCATATTGATAGCAACTAGTCACCGGATGAGCACCTGTGAAGAAAACAAAACATGTGACAGAAATAGTGCAATGGAGATGTAATTATTAGTGAACTCTTCTCTGTAATCTCTGGAGAAAGACAAATTCAGAATAGAAAATACATTAAAAGTTGATGGCTTTTTTTCCAGACGAATGATCAAAATTTAGGTTATTACTTAAAATAACTTGCACAAAGATAATTCCTTGTAGGAATTTTTCTATATTTTGACGGTACCATTGTCAATATCCTGAGTGTAAATTGTACCATAATTTTGTAAAATGTTACCATTAAGGGAAAGTGGGCAATGGGTATATTAGTATCACTCTGTATTACTTCTTACAACTTCAGGTGAATCTTCGATTAATTCAAAATAAAATATTCAATTTTTATAAAAGAGCTACAAACTCTATGTTTTTGAAATAAAGTAAGCCTAAGCAACTGTCTTTACAAAGATTTTTTTCTTAAATTAGCCAGGAGTGGCTGGGCATGGCAGTAGTGCTATAATCCCTGCACTTTGGGAGGTCAAAGTATTCGAGACCAGCCAGTGCATCATGGTGAAATTCCACTTCTTTATATTAGAAAAAAAAGAGAAGAGAAAAAAATTAGTCAGGAGTGGTGGCATGTGTTCTAGTTACTAAGGGGGATAAGGCGGAGGATCACTTAATCCCAGAAGTTGGGGGATGGAGAATAAAATCAGAAAAATATGTCACTAAGTATATTTGGTTTGAGTCATATTGCAGGGAATTATTTAGATCATACAAGTTTAGGTTACAGTGCATTGATTTTATGACTCTACACTGACATCTAATGTCTGTTTGAAAAGTTTTATTCTTTCAGCTGGGTGCAGTGGCTCATTTCTGTAATCCCAGCAATTTGGAAGTCCAAGACGGGCAGATCACATGAGCTCAGGAGTTCAAGACCAGCCTGACCAAAATGGCAAAACCCTATTTCTACCGAAAAATACAAAAATTAACCAGGCGTGGTGGCATGCGCCTGTAGTCCCAGCTACTCGGGAGGCTGAGGCAGGGGAATCACTTGAACCCAGGAGGCAGAGGTTGCAGTGAGCTGAGCACACATTACATTCCAGCCTGTGCATCATAACAAGATTCTGTGTCCAAAAAAAATAATAATAATAATAACAACAAGAAAAGAAAAGTTTTATTCTTTCATTTTTACACAATTACTGGCAAGTGGATCCTAAGCATTTCTACATCTTGTAATAGTTTTTTTCTTTAATATATTCTTATATATATTACACAAAGGTCCCCGTGTAATAGTTTTTTTTAATATATTCTTCTGTTTTCTACTGTATTACTTACATATCATGGGTAAACAATAATGCAAATGAAGAATATAAGAACAAATGTGCTCATCAGGAACATTCCTATTAATAAGAGCACTTTTGTAATCATTTATACATATATATGTGTATTAACTGAGTGGATAAGAATTAAATACTTTTTAGTTTTTAAAAAGTCACAAATTTGGCCAGGTGTGATGGCTCATGCCTGTAATCCCATGACCTTGCAAGGCTGAAGTGGACAGATCAATTGAGCCCAAGAATTTGAGACCAGCCTGGACAATGTGGCAAAACTCCATCTGTACAAAAGCTATAAACATTAGCCAGGCACGGTGGTGCACACCTGTAGTCCCAGCTATTTGGGGAGGCTGAGGTGAGAGGATCACTTAATCCCAGGAGGTCGAGGCTGCAGTGAGTCAAGATAGCTCCACTGCACTCCAGCCTAGGTGACAGAGCAAAACCCTATCTACCTTAAAAAACAAACAAACATGAGGCCGGCGCAGTGGCTCACGCCTGTAATTCCAGCACTTTGGGAGGCTGAGGCGGGCAGATCATGAGGTCAAGAAATCGAGACCATCCTGGCCAACATGGTGAAACCCCGTCTCTACAAAAAATAAAATAAAAATAAAAATAAAAGACATAAAAAAAAAAGAAACCACAAATTGTTTAGAAAGAGACTATTAAAGTATTTAAGTGTAGAAGTATGAGTGGGTACTATTTGTTTATAAAATGCATATTTATGATAGTTTTTCTATAACTCATGTTCTAATGACAGACTTATTCTGAATAGTCTCAAAATTCAAACTCAAACAGATCTTCAAATAGGCGGATAAGAAAGATACATGGTCACAAATTTGATAACTGTTTAGAAGAATTTGTTGTTAATGTAGTTCACTTTAGTCATTTAACTGCAGTTTAAATAATATTATAAATTATACCACACTAAACACTACTATTCAGTAAGAGGGAGATGATTTGAATATGAATCCAATTTAGGGCTTTACCGAAACGTATAAAATAAAGGCTTGAACAAGAAATTTACATTTTTATAACTTTTTTTTTTTTTAACATTTTAGCAAAACAAAAAAAGTAGTGGAGGAGAGAACTTGGGTGTTAATTATACCCAGTTTCTAAGGGCAAAATTTAACTCCAGGTGGGAAATTTTGTTTTCAGTTATCCACACACCTGGTATGTATATTTGAAGATTGAATTACAGCATTAACACAGTCAAACTAAAGGACCATACACAGAGAGAAAAAAAGTCAAAATTTACAGATACAAAACAATTAATAACAAAATAAATATACCAGTAAAATGACTTGTTAGAAAGCTATACTAACAGGGAATATTTAAGTCTGAAAAAGGAATTATGACCAATGATATGATCTCAAAGGTATAAAGAGAAAGAAAACTAGATCTTCTTTTCTTTTCCAAAACCACAACAGGAAATGAGGTGCCAGAGGAGGGGTTTATGTTGGAAATCAGAAAAGTATTTCTGAAAAGAAAAATAAAATACAATGGAAGAGGTTATTGTAGTGGATTTCTTTCTATGGCTGTTTATCTTACTAGAAGAAAAAAAAAATAATGTCTTAAAGGATAAACAATGACTTTGCTAAGTTTGTAGCATGCAAAGACTTGCATTGAAATGTCACATTATAGGCCGGGCGCGGTGCTCAAGCCTGTAATCCCAGCACTTTGGGAGGCCGAGGCGGGTGGATCACGAGGTCAAGAGATCAAGACCATCCTGGTCAACATGGTGAAACCCCGTCTCTACTAAAAATACAAAAAATTAGCTGGGCATGGTGGTGCATGCCTGTAATCCCAGCTACTCAGGAGGCTGAGGCAGGAGAATTGCCTGAACCCAGGAGGCGGAGGTTGCGGTGAGCTGAGATCGTGCCATTGCATTCCAGCCTGGGTAACAAGAGCAAAACTCCGTCCCCCACCCCGCCAAAAAAAAAAAAAAAAGAAAGAAATGTCACTTTATAATGAAATTCTTTATTGAAACATGCACGCAGGTGTGTACATGCACATACAATAAGAAAATAACAAAATATATGTGTTATCAGTACTATAAACTAAAATGCAGGCTGGGCACAGAGCTCACACCTGTAAACCCAACACTTGGGAGGCTGAGGCAGGAGGCTCACTTGAGTTTGAGATAAGTCTGGGCAACATGAAGAAACGCCGTCTCTACAAAAAATACAAAACAAAATTAGCTGGGCATGGTGGCATGCACCTGCAGTCCCATCTACTTGGGAGGCTGAAGTGAGAAGATCAACGAAGCCTGGGAGACTGAGGCTACAGTGAGCGGCGATGGAGCCACTCCACTCCAGCCTGGGAGATGGAGTGAGACCCTATCTCTCAAAAACAAACAAAAACTCTCACAAGGCTTCAATGTGGATAAAATGTGTTAGTATAAGCACTTACAATCAGTTTTCCAGAACTTCCTAGTAAAATTTCTCTACCTGGAATTATTCTCACACAGTAAATGTGTTTTAATTCTACCATCTTGCTCTTACCTCTACAGTCTTTTTTATTTGAAAGCATAACAAAACCACTTTTACAGGAACAGTGATAACTTCCAGGTGTATTATCACAAATTTGGCTGCAACCTCCATTTAGATTTGAGGGATCTTTGCATTCATTTATATCTAAAAAAAAGGAAAAAAATAAATTATCATTAAAGTGATATAACCTGCAGAGAACTTTTCAGGAGAGCAATCCTGATGAGCCGGGCGGGGTTATCATACATACCAAATTCACACTTTTCTCCTTGCCAGCCTGGTTTACAAATGCAAGTAAAAGTGGCTTTTCCATCTCTGCAGCTCATATATCCATCTTCATTGCACGGCAGAGGACTACACTGGTCGGGAATGGCTGAAGGAAATAGACATCTATTTATTTGTTTACATCATGTCATGGTAAAATAAAATTGTGTGCTCTTTAATAAAAATCCTGTTCATGAAGCCTAGAACCAGTGGGGAAAAAATGCAACTCCTTCCTTTAAATAATACTTTTTTAAAATTAAAATGTGAGTCCACTAGGCAAACCTTTATAATTATTTTGTAAAAAGAAACTACTGATGGCAGCAGTGGCCCACCTAGAGTGGCTGCAGCGGGGAGCCAGGTCTGGGCCTCCCACTCCACAGAGCAGGTAGGAGCCCCATGCTCCCCGGGCGCTGCTGCAGCTTCTGTGTTGTGGCTCTGGATCTGGGGGTGTCTGTGCTCTTGGGGGCCTGCTCCCACTGCCTGGCTTCTCCCTGCAGTAGGCATCCATTCTGATCTGAGGCATGGCCATGGCTTCATGCTCCATGGAGCTGGTGAAAGCCAAGGACAAGCAGGAGCCCCATCCCTTCCAAGCTGGCAGGACAGGAGCCCTCTGAGTGCAGCTGCAGCTGCCCAAGCCCAGCTGGAAACATGGGCACCTCTGTGCTATTGGGTGCTTGCGAAGGCCCCCCTGCCCAGCACAGGCTCAGAAGAGCCTGCTCCTGCTTCCTGGCCTCTTTCCACTCCTGGTGCCCACTCTGATCATGGAGCGGGGTTGGGACTGAAACTGACTGTAGTTGCAGCCTGGATGGGTGGGCACAGGCTCAGGGCAGTGGTAATGCGCCAGCCCCCTGCCTCCTCCAGTCTTTGGGCTCCAACAAGCATGGGAGGGGAGCTGAGGGGGGTACTGAGGGCAGCTCAGTGCTGGCCTGCAGGCACCCCCCTGTCACAAACAGCCTGGGTGCCATGAACAGTGGCAGGAGGTAGACAGGTTCATGGGCAGAAAAGAGTGAGTCCCCTATGAAGTCTCACCTTCAGGATGGGGAAGGCCTGAAGCCTGTGGGCTGGGCTGCCAGTCCTCCTGACTCAAGGGGGACCTCCTGGTGCTTTTTTCTGGGCCCTTCCATGGCTGCCCATGGACCAATAAGCAGGCACTTCCCCGCGCTAAAGACCGTAAATACCCCAGACTCAGCCAGAGCAGAAGAGATGTCCAGACAACCAGCTGCAGAAAGAAGCTACCCCTTCCAGGGCTTCCTCTCTACTGAGAGCTGCAGACTTCTGAATGACCAGCCTGTAGAAAAGAACCATCTTCTCCAGGCCTTCCTCTACTGAGAGCTGCAGATGACAGGACAATCAGCGGCAGAGAGTAGCCACCCATTCTAGGCCTCCTCTCTGCTGAAAGCTGCAGAGATCATGGGATGACCTGGCTACGGAGAGGAGCCACCGGCTTCAAGGCCTCCTCTCTGCTGACAGCTGAACACTAGATGGGGCGACCTGCCTACAGAAAGGAGCTACCCAGTGAGGGTCTCCTTTGAGCTATTCTAAAGCTGAGTTCATCTTGCTCACCCTCCACTTTTAAAGAACTCAGGCAAACGCACTACCAGCCACAGAGATTTCCATTCAGAAAAGCAATACCCCAAAGGTTCCATAACACTACTTTTACATTATATATACAGTATTTCATAACTATAATTTAGATATTTTTCCAAATAAATTACCTTATTTGAGCCTTAGAACAACTCTGTGGGGTAGACAGAACAATATTGTTCTCAATATTAATAGAAAAAAGGTGTGATGGCTCTTGCCTGTAATCCCAGCACTTTGGGAAGCCAAGGCAGAAAGATCACTTGGGTCAGGAGTTCAAGACCAGCCTGGGCAACATGGTGAAACCGCATCTCTACTAAAAATATAAAACTTAGCTGAGCATGGTGGCTTATGCCTGTAGTTCCAGCTACTTGGGAGGCTGAAGTACAAGAATTGCTTAAACCTGAGAGGCAGAGGCTGCAGTAAGCCAAGATCATGCCACTACACTCCAGCCTGGGTGATGGAGCAAGACTCTGTCTCCAAAAAAAAAAAAGAAAAAGAAAAAAAGAACTTAAAACATTCAACCTGGGCTAAGATGATGTCACAGGGACCAGGCTTATCTTCCTGCCTTAAGTAAGTAGAACTTCAGTCTATGTAAAATATTGGTTTTTCAAACATGGGTGAATAGGAAGGAGAACACTGTGAGTCCTAAGGAAAAGAAAAGAAACAAGCTGAGACCTACAATTGCACCACATGACTGCGTGGAGGGAGCTACTATGCAACAGTGCAGGAAACACAAACAGAGCCCAGTGTCTCCCTGGGTTGAGAAAACAAATATTGGAGTTTGGGGAGATCACACTAGAATTTTGCTGGTCAGAGTGCTATAAAGGCAAAGAGAGGAGAAAAATGTGTGTGTATGGAAAGAGAGGCAGAGAGAAAAACAGAAAGACTCCGGAGATCTGTAAAAATATCCCCTGTGGTCTTTGGCTGAATGATGATTTGCACAGGAAAATTTCCAGGGCTCATAGAGAGACAGGGACAGTTTGTTTGAGACTACCCAGACCTTAAAAGATTTCACAGTAAAAAGGACATCAGGTAGAATCCTCACAAGGATATAGGCTTATTATTGAGGCTAAGTAGTTTTAAGCTAATGGCTACTCTAGATTGCCTTAATAGAACTTATAAATCAAACCTGAAAAGATTTATTTTTAAATCATTCCATGTAAGTTAGCTAAGTGCTGCAACAAAATCAAACACTATTTGGAAGAAGACAAGAATATCCAAAACCCAGCAACATAAGCTGTAAGTGTATTTTCTTTTCCTTAGGAGTCACAGTGTTCTGCTTCCTGTTCTCCAATGTTCAAAACTTAGACCAAAGTTTATTTTTTTATAAACTTAGACCAAAGTTCTACTTATTTAAAGCAGAAGGATAAATCTGGTCCTTGTTACATCATCTTCGCCCAAATTGAAAATTCGAAGTTCTTTTTTCTTTTTATGCTGAGAATAGTATTGTTTGTTTTGTCCAGTAAACAATGAAAAATAAGTAGGGGTCAGATGCAGTGGCTCACACCTATAATATCAGCACTTTGGGAGGCAGAAGATGGAGGATAACTTGAGGTCAGGAGTTTAAGACCAGCTTGGGCAACACAGTGAGATGTAATCTTTACAATTAATTTAAAAAATAAATTCTCAGGCCGGGCACGGTGGCTGAAGCCTGTAATCCCAGCACTTTGGGAGGCCGAAGCGGGTGGATCACGAGGTCAAGAGATCGAGACCATCCTGGTCAACATGCTGAAACCCCGTCTCTACTAAAAATACAAAAAATTAGCTGGGCATAGTGGCGCACGCCTGTAATCCCAGCTACTCAGGAGGCTGAGGCAGGAGAATTGCCTGAACCCAGGAGGTGGAGGTTGTGGTGAGCCGAGATCGCGCCATTGCACTCCAGCCTGGGTAACAAGAGAGAAACTCTGTCTCAAAAAAAATAAAAATAAAAATAAAAAATAAATTCTCCAGCTGTGGTAGTCCATGCCTGTTGTCCCAGCTATTTGAGAGGCTAAGGCAGGGGGATAGCTCGAGCCCAGGGATTTGAGGTTACTGTGAGCTATGATTGGACCACTAGACTCCAGCCTGGGTAACAGTGAGACGTTATATCCAAATAAAATAAAATAAAATAAAATGAATAGGCATGTAAAGAAACAGGAAAAAATAATTTATAACCGAGAGAAAAATCAATTGATGAAAATACATCAAAAATGAAAGAGATGACAGAAAAGGCAGAAAAATAAGTAAATACAACTATTTTAAATGCACTCCATATGTTCCAGTAGTATAAGCATGATAAATAAAAATAAAAATAAAAAGACGATGTTGAACAGACCCAAATGTGACTTACTGAAATGAAAAATAAGCTGTATAAAATGAAAAATACACTAAATGGGATTAGAAGTAAATTATATGTGGGAGAAGAAAAGAAGGGTGAACTTGAAAACATCAGAACTATCCAAAATTAAGTAAGGACAGATAAGAAGTATAAAGACAATAAATACATAAATAAATTAATAAGTAACCAGAGCATGAACAACTTGTTAACCAATATCAAATGGTCTAATATATGTGATTGACATTCCAAGAGAAGAGGGAACATAGCAGGAGAATAGAAAAAAGAAATTTGAATAAATAATAGTAAACAGTTTTCCAAATTTGATGAAAAGTTTAAACTCACAAATCCTAGAAGCCCACTATACATCAATCAGGATAAACCTCAAAATACTATTTCAAATTAGAGAAAACCAGGGAAAAACAGAAGTCTTAAACACAGTGCATACACATAGAAAAAAGCTAAGAATGACAGCATAT